AGAAACAACTGAAGATGAAAAACTACTGTCCCCATATATAACTAATTTGTGTTGTGCACCAAGTACCTGCTATAAATTTCCATGCCAATTTACAACCCCCATACTGTACCAGGTGAAGTTGGTTAGAGGGTACTGAAAATACCACCAGGACAGGGCTATCTAAAGACACATTCAGTAATGTGTTAACTATACAAAAAATGACACTGTATAGCTTAAGAACAATTTTTACACAGCCTTACATTTCAACTTTTTTCTTCAAAAGGAATGAGTTGTATACAGGGGATTAAATGCTTTATAGACGAGAAAAATATAACTGCTCTAGCACCAACTTATTCATTCTCATCCTCTTCATCCTCATCCTCTTCATCTTCCTCCTCCTTCTTTTCCTCCTCTTCCTTCTTTTTCTTGCTGTTTTCAGCCTTGATAATTCTTTTTTTTTTTGCTGAAGCAGGTATTCCTTTAGCCCAGTAAGCAGTGATGTCTTTTTCATACTTTCCTTTCAGCTTAGCAGCCTTCTTCTCATATGGCTGCTTGTCATCTGCTGCAGTATTATTCCACATTTCTCCTAGTTTCTTTGTGACATCACCAATGAAGAGGCCAGGATGTTCTCTTTTGATTTTTGGGCAATACTCAGAACAGAACAAGAAGGCCAAAGGAGGCCTCTTGGGTGCATTGGGATCCTTGAACTTCTTTTATTTCTATATAATTTTATTGAGAAATAAATATTGTTGAGACAGTTTGAAATCAAATTGGTAGAACAATTCCAATAATTAACACATTGCATACTGCCTTCCTAGTGGTTATTTGTTGAACAAGATGCAGATATGATATCCTACTTACAAACACTACTAAAACAAATCCCTGCACTTATTAAATTAAGAGAATGTAGTTATATATCTGTCCTAAATATTTTCAATACACAGATACAAAATGGTTATTCATCTATATCTTTTTTGTTTAGTTCTTTCATTTAAATATTATAGGTGTGTGAACTCAACAAAATATTCCAAAATAGTCCAGTAGTCCATAATAGTATTGGGTCTTTCACTTGACTGGCAATGTTTTAAGTTGTTGACCTGAGTCCCCTACAGCTCAAAATAACAATATGTCTTTACTTCTTATACTTCATAATAAAAGCAGACTAGCAGAGTGGTTTAAGAAACAAAATTAAACAATATGCAGTGTACAAGATACATATTTAATTTAAAGGTAACTCATAGACTGAAAGTTAAAGGATGGAAAATAATACTCCATGGAACAAGAACAGAGAAAACAGCAGTGTAGCTCTTCTGGTTGCTGACAATGTGAGCTGCCAACCAAGAGTGACTGAAAGAGATGATGAATGTCACTACATACCTCTTAGGGGCAAACTTCAAGAGGAAGAGATGACAATAATCAATATGTATGTATCAAATATAGGAACAACCAACTATATGAAACAAAATTTATCAAACATTAAAAACCAAATGATCAATAACACGGTTGTGAAATGGGACTTTAAGATGTCATTGAAAAAAGGAATGGATCGACTAGGCAAAATATCAGCAAACAATATAACAGAACCAAACCAAACATGTTAAGAAATGGACTTAGTAGACCTTTAGAGTATTTTCTACCCAATAACATCAGAATACACATTCTTCTCAGCTCTACATGGGATGGTCACAAAAATAGACCATATACTACCACATAGAACATGCTTAAGTAGCTAAAAAGGAATTGAAGTTCCCCCATGCATGTTTAGTGTTTCTCTTTTAATGTGTAGATCTTTAATCCATTTTCACTTTAGCTTAGTGCATGGCGATACACCTGGGTTAAGTTTTAGTTTTCAAGGACAGGGGAGATGGCTCAGTGGAATAAGCACTTCTACTGGCAAGTACAAGGGCCTGAGTTCAATCCCCATTTCCGCCAAAAAAAAAAAAGTTTTCAGTTTTCAGCATGTAGAGAGCCAGTTTTTCCAACACCATTTACCCCATGCACTTTATGTGAACATAACGAAAGAAAATTATACATTATTGAAATAAATATCAGCAAAAGCTACATAAACACATGGAAAATTACATAAGATGGTCTTGAACAATCCAAAGGTCACAGATAACATTAAAGAAGAAATTAAGCAATATCTACAGACAAAGAAAATGCAAGCAAAACTCACCAGAATCTATGGGATGCAGTGAAAGATGTCTTAGGGAAAAATATAGTGTTAACCTCTTACATCAGTAAAATGGAATGTGTCAAAATAAATAATGTTATGCTGCATCTCAGTCCCCTAGGTAAAGAAGAGCAAGTCAAGCCCAAAAGCATAACCAAGGCAGGAAATCATAAAGGTCAGAAATGAAATAAATGCAATGGAGACAAAAAATAATACAAAGAATTAGTGAACTACAGAATTGGTTCTTTGAAAGAATAAATAAAGCTGGTAAACCACCTAGTCAACCTTATCAAAATAGTCTAATTTTTGTAGTAATGTACAAAAGGAGTGAAATCAATACAGACCCCATAGAAATTCAAAACACAGTCAATACCTACTCCAAAACCTTTACTCTCACGGGATGGAAAGCACAGAATAAGTAGACTGATTCCTACATAGATATAAACTACCAAATCTGAATCAAGAAAATATAAAAATTATGAATAACCCAATATCTGTGAATAAAATTGAAAATGTAATAAAATATCTACCCACAAAGAAATCCTAGATCCTGATGGACACACAGATGAATTTTCCAAGAAATTTAGTGTAGAATTATTGCCAAGTTTTCTCACTGTTCAATGAAATTAAAAATGAAACAATTCCCCTAAACTCATTCCTAGAAGCAGCGTGTTACTCTGATAAGAAACAAAGAAAGACGTACCCAAACAAGAGAACTATGAGACAACCTCCCTAATAAACAAATGCAAAAATCCTCAGTAATATACTAACAAACAGCATGCATGAAATCATAAATAAGCATGAGCAAGTGAGATACATCCCAGAAATGTAGGGATAGTTCAAGATATGCAAATCCAAAAGTGTAACACACCATTTCAACAGAGTAAAAGACAAAAAATCATATGATAATCTCAATAGATACAGAAAAAAACTTGACAAAATCCAAGACTGCTTCATGAGAAAAACCCTACAGAAAGTCAGAATTAGATGTTCTTTTTGCCTTAGACTGATAAACACCATCTATTACAAACAATTCTGCTCCTAGATCTAAGACAATCTCTTAGCTATGAGCCCCTATACAAATGAAAAGTTAAATAGATAAATACTTCCAACTTTCAATGGTACAAGAAAAATATTATCACTCCCAAAGATACAATCATGGGGATACAAAGCACTGGGACCAAAGCAAATACAAAATCTATCAGGGAAATTATTGTTCTATAGTTTCATGTGGAACATCCAAAGGAATCTCTATAAATTGTGAGCTCTCAAAGTCTTATGTGGCTCTGCCCCTATGGCACTTAAGGGGGTTTTAGCTCCAATGGCTTCTCTCTTAGGCCTGCTTTGCTTCCTCCTCACAAATTTCTTAAATGATCTGAGTTATTGGCTTTTACTACCTTCTGGGATCTCCACTGAACCTTAGGCTTATGACTCAAAGCTTCACACACTGCTTTCCAAGGGATATAGTGCCTTGCCACCCAGGCCTTCTGAAGTATATGTAAAAGCATTTTTAACCTCTGAACGCTTACATTCTTCATGCATCCAAAACCAAAGCCATATGAATGATACCAAGGTCGGCTGCCACCTGGGGAAGTACATAGGTTTTATTTTCTCTAGTGGAGTGCCTGGATCACTGAGTGTTCTAAACCTAATTCTGATGAACAAATTCTCTGTAACTCCACATTGTGGAAACTGGTGCAGCTGCTGCCATCATTCTGGAACATGGTGTTCTGCAGCTTTCTTCTCAAAGAAGTCTTTCATTTTTTGCAAATGAGGCTGCAAAGGTGGAGATTTGCTGCTTCTTGTGACACCCTCTGACCACTTTTTCTGTTCTGTTTCTTCTGAGCAATTTTGATCTTCTCAACTCTTCTTTACAATCCACATCTTTATTGTAGCTTCCTTTGTGGCCAAAATCACACCATTTTAATTTATTTTTCTGGGTTCTTTGCTCTTGATTCTCTACATAAATTTGGCTAAAAGTCCCCAACAACGTCCATGCTATCACCTCAGCATTTGACTGCCTTGAATTTTCCTTTGCCAGATTAATTAGTCTGCATCCCTAAACCTCAGTATCAGGCAAAGTCTCTGGAAATTAACAAAATGCAGACCAACTTTCTACCAAGCACCAACACATATCATCTGGAGTCCAACAACAAATGTAGCTATTTGTGTGTTTCCCAATACTCTACCTTAGCAATTCATTAAGGTTGAAATGTTACCATCTATTTGCCTCAGCCACAAGTCTCTTGTTACTGCACTATGATGATGTTTGTGACCTCAGATAATCACAGTATTGTTATAGAGAACAGAACAACTGATAATAAGCATTATATTCTGGATAACTTTTTACAAATAGCAATAACAATCACATCACTTATGGCATATAATGTGACAAAATATGGTAACACTTGATTTGGTATATTTAATCACAGGGGCACATTATATATCAAAATTCAACTTAAATCGAAACTTTTATGCAATGACTTTTTACCTAGTCGAGTGATTTTATTCTGCAGTTGGGAAATTTAAGAGGTACAGCTGTCAAAACAGAGAGAGATGAAGAGAAATACTGTTGAAGGAGGACTAGAGGACCATAAATGATCATGTAATCTTTGGGAAGGTGGAGAAGATGGTGGGAGAGAAAGAATTAAGGAGAAAGCAAAAGATTGTTGAAGTGAATTGAAAATGTTGGGAACAATGTTCATTCACATGAGCATATAAGAGATAGTTGAAGAGAGAAAAAGATGAATAGAGAGAATAAAAATACATGTACAAAAATAAAAGAGACCTCTGGTATCCACTGTTCTGTGGTATTGTCAAAATTTGCATTTTAACAATTATGCAATAGAATTAGTGCTGTATTGGATATGGAGCTGATCTTGGCCTCTGATTATGGTGGCTGTGACCAATCTGTAGCCAGCAGCTTTCTGGATGAACCACCACCTACTCCACAGAATGTCTGCATTACCCTCCTGGCTTCTATGGTGCGTGCAAATGGAGATAGTTCTAGGCTGCTCCCATTTCAGGAAAAATTTGTCTCCCACTTAAATCCTGTACATTTACTCCATGCTCCACCACTGGCTCATGTCATGCTCCACCTCTTTGTCCTGCACTGGTAGTTGCAATTCTGGCCTGAGCTGGTTGTTGCAAATCAGAGGGAATGCTGGATTCCTGACACAAGAATGTTCTTCTGGTTTGTCACAGGGTACAGGAGTGTTTGTTTCTTACTAATTGCACTGCAGGTCAGAGGTCAGAGGGAGATGCTGACTTCTCAGTCCAAGGGTGTTGTGTTCCTGGTCACTGATTGCAGTTCAGGAAAGTACTTGTACAGAGTGTAGTGGAATAGTACTAATCCGTCTTGCACCACTCACAGGGGAGGAGGAGATGTCTTATTTCACTAGCAATCCACATGCCATGGCCAGTCACTAAGCTTGGTACCCTTAGACATTCCAAAAAAAGGACAAAAACTGATGGAAATTCTTAGTACAATCATTTCAGTATTTGTCATCATCATTGTTTAATTCTTAAGTTCTGATTCTTTCTGTTTTACTATATCTGTTATACCTTTCAGGGTTTATTTGGCCTTTCTGATTCATACATTAGGGAGACCAAGCAATATTTCCTCATGTAGGTGTGATTTACATTACTTATAAGTATAGTCTCCAGTTGTATGTGCTAATCTATGAAGGCTTCACGTTTGTCTTTCTTTATAGATGTGTAATACTTGGCTGTATAAAATAACACTTCTTTTTCATACATTTGTCAGGTGATGGGAATTTTGGTTACTTCCAAGATTTGGCTAAAACAAATTGTGCTGCTATAATCACGGGTGCACATATATTGTCGTATGATGTTTTCAGTTCTCATGAGAAAAATACTTAGGAGGGTAATAGTGGGAATGATTTGGATTATGAGTTCTAGTTTTTTGAGGAATCTCCACACTGATTTCCATAGTTGCTGTACCAATCTATATTCCCACCAGCGGTGGAGATGTGTTCCCTTTTCCCTAAAGCCTCTCTAGCAATTGTTATTATTTGATTACTTTATGATAGCCATTGCTTCTGGAGTGAGATAGTAACTCAGTGTTGCTTTACCTTACATTTCTCAAATGGCCAGTGATGTAGAGCATTATTTCAGGTATTTATTTGCCTCTTGAATTTCTTCCTCTGAAAAGAGTGTATTCATCTCAGAAGCCCATTTTTGGATTGGGTCTTTAAATTTGAGGACCATAACTTTTTTTTAGTTCTTTATATATTTTAGATAGAACACCTTTGTCTGAGTAATTATTGGTTAAGGTTTTCTTTCCAATTTTATCGGTTGTCTTCCCATTTTTTTTGGTTATTTCTATTCATGTGCCAAAACTTCTCCATAAGAGAAGGTCCCAGGTGTTGATTCTTTGAAGTAGTTCCCATGTAGTTTCTTCTAAGATAATCCAATGTGAGTCCTTTATTCAGCCATATTGAATCTGTCAATATTTTTTAAATTTAATTTATTTTGAAAAGTAAAAGCAAAGCAAGCACAAAAATCAGAAACAAAGAAAGAAACAGGGCAACATACAACAGTACATATGTTACAAATTTTCAAACCAAGAATAATTGATTAACAATCATTCATATACTATCTGTTTTATCATCAAATCTGTTGCTCTGATTAACAGATATAGTTATGTAAGATTGGACATATGGTTGCATATTACTGCTTCCTTTGAAGAAACCTTAAAATTTTGTTCTTGTCTCTATTTTTTAACAAACTGTTTTAAAAGTTTGTTTTAAAGATGCATTGTAATAATTGATGTGACATTAGAAGCAGTACACATTTTAAAAAAGAAGATGACAGGCATTCATTTAAGCATGTTTTTTATTACACATTGCTGTTCTCTATGTAGTTGCTTAGATCACAAATATCAGCATACACAGTCAATGTGGAAATTATACACATTAACTGCTATTTTCAAGAGACTGATGGAGATTTTCAGTACAATCACCTCAGTCATCCTGTATATACACTTTTATGTTTTTCTCCTACCTTTTTGCTTATCTCTTCTCTTTTCAGTTCTCCTTGTTGTTTAATACTTACGTTCCATTTCTTTATGTTTTACTATATTTGTTATAACTTTAAGGTTTTATTTCTTGTTTCAAGTTTTTACAATAGGCAGACAATATGATATTTACACATATGGATCTGTTTTATTTCATTGGTGAGTATAGCCTTGTGTTGTATCCACTTATCTATGAAGCCTTCTAGTTTGTCTTTATTTATAGCTGAGTAATACCCATTGTACAGAAATATGACATCTTTTCATAATTTTTAATTTAGTCTATTTTATGTGCTATTAACAAGGCAGCTAAATCTTGTGCTTTTTCATCTGTATTTTTTTATGTTTTGACTTTCAGTCCAAGTGTATCCTCATTAGTTAGTTGGATATCTTTTAACCAACATATAGTTGAAAGTAGTAGAGACCTATTGTAACTTTTTGACAGATTGTTTCATGATGTTTTCAATAAAAATGCACCAGTTTGTATTCTGTGTTAATTCTTGTTAATATTTTAAGTTTTTCTTTACAATATGAATTCTTTAGAGGAGAATGACTGGTTCAAATAAGTCTTTGTAATATTCTTGATAAATTCACTAACATTGACATTTTAATTTTAGTCTTTTGTATATTTGGGTAGATGGTTGGTCTATAAAGAATTTGTCCTGTTCAATTTTTTTCCAGGTTTGAGGCAGCTAGAAAAGATGCACTTGCTGTAGATCAAAGACTTGCAGAAATGCAGGAAGATGAAGCCATCCTAGAAAAGAAATGGCCATTCCTTGGTGTACCTTTGACAGTAAAAGAATCTTTCCAACTGCAAGGTACAAGTCTTGGTAATTGTTTAGCTATATTGTTTAAATTTACAAGTCGTATAGATTTTTAATACAAATATTTGATTGTTAAAATTATAATATTATCAAAGTGATATCAATATTTTTCTCCTAGGCTTTTATTTTTCATTTACATTTAGTCCTGGGAAAGGAACTCATAACCTCACAATTGACAAGCAGGTCTTGTGCCACTGGACTATATCCCTGGCATCTTTTCAGTTTTTAAAAGAAGATAAATATTCAGAAAATTTGACTAGGAAGTGTAAGAAAAATAATGGCCATCCCATGTTGAGTTTTATTCAGTATTCATTAGTACTCATAGCAGACATTCAAGAAATTTATTATGCCATTTTTTTCAAATATGAACAAAAACACTCACTCATAAATAAAGGCTCAGATTCTGACAAACCACTGTGTTTTATGATGAAACACTTATTTGAAATGTCCTAATCATCACAAATATAATTGAAAATACGAAATATTTAAAAATTAAATGACATAAGTTTAAATAACACACAGGCCAAAGAAATATATCATAGATAATCAATTACATGGAAAGAAAACAACATGATATAGAATAATATTCTGGCTGCAGTTAAGGTAATTCTGGGACTGAAATTCATAAATTTTAGGGAGTGTCTTTGAGAGAAGAAATAGTTCAAATCAATAATATACTTTCAGTTTACAAAAAGTAGACAATAGGAAGTAAACTAAACTTAGACCAAGACAAACTGAGAAAACTGCGAAGTGTAGACTTTAAATCAGATATTTTGTGAAACCAATTAACAGTGAAACCCAAAAGTGGTTGGTTGAAGTGTTCAACAAATCTGATATATTTTAGCTTAGTTTTTTTTCAAAATTTTATTGATAAATAGCAATGAAACAATATCAAATAAAATAGGAAGTGCAGTTTCAACAAATAATACACTGCATATATTCTTCTTAGGGGTTAATTGCTGTACAAGATGCGGACTTGAGATCCTATTTACAAAAACCATTAGAACATATCATTCTATTCCTTAAGCGAATGCAACTATATATCTATCCTAACCACTTTGAATACACAGATACAAAATGGACATTCATCGGTATACCCCATTTTTCTAAGTTCCGTTATTGAATATTATAGTATGTGTAAACTCAGCAAAATATGCTAAAAGAGTACAGTAGCCCATAATAGCATTGGGTCTTCTGTTTAACTGGCAATGTCACAAATTGTTGACCTGAGTCCCCCACAGCTCAATGTAACAACATGGCTTGACTTCCTATATTTCGTCTTCATACTTTTCTACTGGATGGTTAAGACCAAGGTAAAGCAGGACCT